TGTGTGTGTGTGTGTGTGTGTGTGAGGGGATATTACCTTCACACCCTCAGCCTGTGCGTGGAGGATGTGTGCAGCGCTGCCGGCGCTCTGACCGCTGCCTGAAGACCTCACACTGGTCACACTTCCAGAACTGCCCACGCTGCTGCGATCCCCACCTGCAACACACAAACACACACACACATGCGCACCAGAACGTACGTGTGCAGTCACACGCCCATGCAGACGTCCGTACAATATTTACAGAAGTTGGTAATGTTGCACACATGCGACAGACACGTGGATGCATCCGGACACACACACACACATACACACACGCACGCACGCACGCACGCACACACACACACAGAAGGGTTTAGGTTCTATCCAAAGCTGCACTGTAAGAGATGTGACTCTCCGTTGAAATGCACTGGGCTGCATGTGTTTGGATGGACAGGACGGACAAACAGGCCGACGGATGACTGAGTGACGAACACAAAAGTGGAATAAAGACATGCCCCACACTTTTTCACCAGTCAAACTCACATCATCACTTCTCTCCCTCTTTAAGTCTCTCTCTTTGTCGTCCTCTAGCACCCCAGCACAACCAATCTGAGAGACGCTCACGCACACAGACTGGAGACCAATGCAAATGCCTGTCGCCTACACATTAGACCTCTGAGGTCAGCTAAGCTTCAGATGGAGGGATAGGCAGGGCATGGAGGTCAAATAGTATCTGAAAGCCTTCGAGCACCATCATCTCCTGACTAAAATGAACCCGTGGGAGAATTCGGCTCTTGGTAAAACCACAGGCGCTTGCAAACAGCAGTGCGGGGTTAGAGAAGAGTTTGCCGACGGACGTCAGATACTGTTTGGCCCCTGGTCAGACTTTCAGGAGTCAGAGGTTGAGGGCTCAGCGCAGCGCGGCTTCGTTACCTGCCACGGGCTTGCGCAGAACCCAGATCTCTTCATTGGAGCCTCCATGGGGCCCGCTGGATGGGGTGGGAGAACTGTGAGGACTTGCCTCTGAGCCTCGACAACCTTCAACACAGAACACCACCGTTAACCACTAACCCACCCCTGATGTGGCCTGAGAAACTGCTGTCTCGCAGTCAGAAACTGCCTTTAAAAGTAGCAACTGATTTATTTATTTATTTGTCTGTTTAGACGTCACGCATGCAGCACTTTGCTTTTCACGTCGTGACGTTTACCTGCGCTGTTACCTGTCACCCAACAATGTAAAGTAAAAATGCAGTTTAATTTTAACTGTGCATTGGTCGGACACAGTTGGTAAAAGCTCACATATTTTCATTTGTGCTCATGTTTCTCTCATGTAAGTTTCTTGGCAACTTTACTCTTAAAAATGAACTAAACACATTAATCTACAGTAATTTGACGCTACAATAGAAAACAAAGTAATATAAAGAGGTGAATTGTTAATATCATGATGCCAAAGATGAGGTTTTAGTAAGTGACAAATATTTGGAGGAAAAAAAATAAAAAAAATTTTTTTCATAAAAAACTATTTGTTTCTTTTCAAAGTTTATATCAACCTTACATATGTCACATCCGTGCAAAATATAACATAATATTTTTCCTATTGTTAAAATTTTGACTTTTTTTCGTGAAATCTCTGACTTTTTTTTCAGATAGTGAACTAAAATGAGCTTGTTTATATGTAACTGTAAAATCTTTACAGAAATGCTAGTTTTGAATTTTCTTATATTTTTATTTGTGAGCTTTTTATGCCAAATTATCCACTTCATTGTATCTATTTTTTTAATCTTAAATGTACCAGATTAGTGTTGGAAATAGACAATGTCAGACATTTTTTAGTAAAAATTTGTGACTAGCTTAGGACACCAGCTGATATAAAATTGTCTTCCTTAACCATTTCGACTACATCTAATAGTGAAATATATTATAGTGTGTCATCCTTAACAAATACACTCGAATATACTCAATTGTTTACAAAACACAAGTAATTTACTCCACTGCTGGCAAATGTTCACATCTATGTTTTAGTAAGGCGCTAGTTGAGTTTGTTGCCATTTTTATTAAATAAAACTTTGACTGCAAAGGTTTAGATTGTCATAAACTATAGTTTTCAGTGTGAGAATGCCTTCATCTGCAGAATCAGTTAAACTGATATGTTTTAATTGAAATGATATTTTTAAATAGTAAAACAAAATCAGGCTAAATAAATAAATTTTAAATTAATCACTAAATGAGACAGGAAGTACAGAGCGACCCTTAACAGGGACGTTTGAAAAGTTTCCAACTTACATTCACACAGTAGTTTCATTTTCACACATCACTTTCTCTCCCACACACAGAAAAAAATACAGCATATATATAAATATATGAAAACATTTATATACTGATAGTATACATTACACAAATATCTGTGTATATACACGTAGAATGTACATACACGTACATATATAATGCATCCATATGTGTGAGATTATATATGTTGGACTTCTCAGAATGAGGCCGTAGTGCATTTGGAGAGTGGGATAAACCATTATAACCATCCTAGAAAGGGTTTATTAATGGTTTATATGTGAGACCAACAGTGCTCCAGAGAAACACACATTTATCAAACGTTTTCAAGGGATAACACGGCTCCTTCTTGTGGCCATTTTACATCCCTCCAAGAGATGTTAGGAAAAATAAATTGGTTTCAGTTCAGCTCAAATAATCTGATGTTTTGTTTTCATCTAGAACCATCAAGACTTAATAAAAAATGTTACAAAATGAAAGTAACTAAGATACGAAATGAAATGAAAGTGTTTTTTTTATTATTATTTTCCTGGAGGGTGGAAAATAGAGTCAGAAGAAGAAGAATTTAACAGTCAGTGTCTATCTTACCTGTGAATGACAGAGGGCAACATTTTCTAACAAAACCTCATTTTACAGTTTGTAACTCGCTCAATTTGACACAATTTCAACAGGTTGTGCTCTAATATTTTGTACTCATCGATTCAATAAATATATATTACTGGTAATAAATAAATTGACAGGATTTCAAATGCAAAAATACAGAAAATATCGCCCTTTAGTTAATGTTGGAAAAGTTTCTTTGTGAGGCAACATCTCCAGCAAAAAACATTTTAAACATTTTTTAATTAGAAAACCCTTGCTTTCCTCAGATTAATACTTGTACCTTGACCCATATTATTTAAGGTTTTACAGTAGAAAGTCTTACTGCTAATGCAACAAGATTATCTACATGCGGTTGTGGTAGATTAGTAAAAAAAAAAAAAAAGAGGAACATTTAGATCACCTAAACTATATATTTTTTAAATCACTAAAAGCATGGGCATTATAGTTTCCACCTTTTTCTATTTTTACTCGTTTTCTCCTTTTTTCCTGTAACAAACACACACAGACACACCAACACACACATTCTAGGTGTGAGTACAAAGTGGGTAAAAGTGAGTGATGACAATAACACAAAGAACACGGACTGAACAGAAAACAGCCTGCTCAGGATAGTCGTGTGTGGAGGGTCTCTGTATGAGAAACTAACAGGGTTTTCCTAACAGGGTAAGTGATGAAGGGCTGGGAAAGAGRAAATAAAAATGGGAAAAGAAGGTGGAAATTATTAGGAGAAAATAAATCAAAAAAGGAAACCCAAACATCCAACTGATTTAAACCAACTCAGGAAAACACAAGTGAGAGAATGACAAACGTTTCTGTATTTTTAATATCGTAAGTAAATAAATCCTCTTACAACTGATGTTTGATCACTATCTGAAACTGTTCAGGTACTTTATGACCTGATGATGGCTTCATTTTACAGTAGAGCCAGTTTTGATTTGCTGAGGTGCCTTCGTGAGGTGCAGTGTACCTGAAGCTATAGGTGCTTTCAGACCAAGGAGGTTTTGAGGGGTTAAAGTGACRTTTTCAACCCACTTCAGTCTGGATGACAAASCTGGCTTCAACCAAAACCATCAGCCAGAACGTGACTCATCTTAGCAGAGTCTTGGTGAGGTGTGGGCAGAGGTGCGCAGTAACAAAGTAAATTTACTCGAGAACTACATAGTTTTTAGAACTTGTACTTCACTTGAGTAGTCTTTTTTTAACTTTTTACGTATACTCTACATTATAATGATAAAATCAAACATTTTACTCCACTGCATTTCTCTAAAGCTTTATAGGTACACTAGATATACAGTGGGTAAAATAAGTATTGAGCACGTCACCATTTTTCTCAGTAAATATATTACTAGAGGTGCTAATGACATGAAGATCCATACATACAAAGAAATCAAACCATAAACGTCCAGAAATGAAGTTATTTGTAATAATGTGGAATGGCACAGG